AACATAGCCGAGGCGAGGCTTTGATTGAGTTAGTATGTATGTTCGGAATTGGACGTCGTTTGAATGGCGAGAGACCAACCTCCGAGGCATTATATCCCACAGCCGGACTCCCAGATGGGCAGCTGTTGAACTCGCATGGCTTCGTCAAGTTTGTCGGGGTCTTCTGTCGGGATCCTGCAATTTGTCAATAACAGCGGAATCTAGGGATGCGCATCACATACCCGTGCCACTCTGGTTTTCAGCCGGGGCAGATACCACAACTGAATGTCCCGCGCCTCCTAGCGACTCAAACATTGCGCGGATATTGACCTCGGCCCAGCCATCGTCGTTGGATGAGATGATGTTGACCGCCTGAGCTGCCAGGGGCAAAAGGGCAAGAACGCCAAACCGCATGGCTAAGTCTGTGAGCGTTGATGCGCGAAGATCGCAACAACCCGGGTCTTATATATCTCGGATGGCACGGCTCATACGCGGACCCGCCGATCGTTGCCGTGATCAAACGCTTCTTGCTGTGGACTTGTCTCCACTCAAAACTGCTCGGTTCGAATGTGAAAACGAAACCCCTGAATGTGAGGGGAGAGAGAGAGATAAATTACATGCTGTCAACGGTCATTTGGGTTCACGTTCAAGGATTCCAGGATGAGGCTTATTTGCTTATGTGATCACATCTTCCAGCCCTGGAGATGTTTGAATACTTTCGACTTTCACAGTAGAACACCACCCATACTCGACCAACGCAAATTAAGAGAAAGAATTTGGAATATTGGGTAAAATATGACGAAGATACGACAAGTTACTGTCCGCTGCTCAGGCACCCTGATTCTCACCCCAGATCCGATGAGCCAACTCCTTCACGAGAACCAACTTCTTCCACATCAAGTCCATCGACATCCCCTCGCCCCCTCCTTGGCTCATACTAGCAAATCCACACTGCGGACTAACACCAAGAGAAGTATCAACAACGTCAGCCACAGTGCGATTCTGTCCACGCGCGATAATCTCAGCAGCAGCATAAACACGAGCAACCATTTCCTCGATATCCTCTAAATCAGCCTTCTTGGTCGACACAACGCCAAGCACGACATTCTTCCCAATAGGCAAATGCCGAAGTGGTTGAAAGTCCCCTGCTCGCTCGGTGTCATACTCAAGGTAGTAAGTATCGTAGTTTAGCCTGCTGAATATCCTTTTGGCGATGCGTTCATACGAGCCGCTTATGATATGTGTAGATCCGACCATGTTACCGCGACAGAGATGAATGCCCACGTGAAGGTCTTTCGGCTTTCCAGCGAGGCAGAGGTTATGTGCCCAGATATACTGGTCCAACAAGGCGTCCGGGTCGACTCCGTCGGTCGAGCATCCGGATCTGAATTCTTCGGAGACAAAGAATAGAAGACATGGGTCGTCGATTTGAATCGAGCGCAGACCTCCATCATACAGGATCTGCCATTCGGCTGCATAGGCTGCTGCTAGATCTTGGAAGTATTCCTCATCACAGGAGTATGCGCTTGCGCTGTAGGCTGTCCCGACGACCATCTGCATTGCATGATTCAGTGAGGCACAGACACTATACTCATGATCTCCTCACAAAAGGAAGAGCTATGTACGTGTACATGTACATACCTGCATATGAATATGAGTGATAGGTGGCATAGTCAACTTACACTCCCTCCACCTGGCCGGCGGAAGAAGAGCACTCAAAGCCTTCCATTCGGACAAGTAAGCACTCTCCACATGACGTATTTTATCCACAGCAACTACGGAGTCCCGCGTTGAAACACCAAGCCTCTGCAGCACCGTGACGGTGGGAAACCCTGTTCGAAATCCATCTACAACAGGGATATCCTTGACAACCTGCATTCCTTCGAGCTGTTCAAAGAATCCGGAGTAGAACTTGTCGCGCCCATATTCCCCTGACGTGATAGGCCTTATTCCTAGCTCTACTTGCTTGCTGACAACCCGTCCAATGGCTACCTCGGTTGCGCGATGCAGTTCATCTGAGATTTTGGAGTATGAGGTTGTCGCGCCGGCGGCTGAACGTGCAGCTAGAAGATCAGGTGGGCGCATGAGAGAGCCGATTTGCTCTGCACGGAAGGGGGGTGACATATTTATTGTAATTTGGGAACTTGGGTATCTGAACTTATGACGTCGGGGACGCTTTTATAGTCTGCAGACTATGGACTGTACATGTGGGGAGGAGCGGGGTGAGGGAGCCCCGAGCGCACAACAGAGTTGTAAGTGGGTTTATTTGGACGTTTCTTTGCATGCTTTTTTGTTCATGTCCTATATATTATGATACTATTCACGACCCATCGATTCTTCCTTCTCCGCTACTGTAGGAAGTCGACGGACTCCACCCTCGTCGTCTTTCGTCACCTCCTTTTTGCCGATTATTGTGTGTCAAAGGTTTTGTATAACTTATATTAGTACTTCCCTGCCTATTATAAGTACCGAATGGACTACTAAGTCCAATACGGATACTGAACATATCATTAAAGATGACTTGTATTGTCGATTATTATTCGTGAGCGGTCAGTTGTAACTTGGACTTTACATAATTACTCTTATTTCTCTCGCTCTCTCTTTCCCTCTCACAGGCTCATTAGCAAAGTGGTCAAGGAAGATATCACGATCCGGAATGGGAGGGAAACAGTTCTCCGGCAAGAATCTCGAGGGCGAGAGTTATCGGTGTACTTTTTTGATCTGCATAAGTTATACGCCGATACCCCATTTGCCTCGAAGTTTCTCAATAAGCGCTTGTTCTTATAATTTACCCTCTAATATTGTGGGTGTTGTCTATATCTACGTCTAAAGGTAAGAAACTATAAGTCATGACTAATAGATAGAGTAGCCAGTATGTAATTGCGGTCCTATCTAGATAAATTGGATATGTAAAGGGTGCCTGCCATCTGTTTCTTTGGGCGTTTTTTGGAACTTTTTTGGACGTTCTTTTGCCCATTTCCCACATATTCATAATACCAAATGGAAGTACAGATACTTTAATATGAATAAATGCCGCGTAGTTAAAAGCTTGGGAAGCCCCGCTTAGTACTGTTCAACCGGATAAATACCACATGCCAAGGGCGCCTGACATGTCTGTTTCTTTTAGGGCTGTTTCGGAACAAACTCCTTGTAATTAAATGTCAATGGACTTGGATCCGAAGTTAACTCGACACGGAGTCAGGCATACAGCCCCGTGGCTCACATGTGTTGCGCTCTTTGGGCTTTCAGGTTTCACTCTATGGCGGTTGGGAATCCGGACCTGTCCTGATGTAGAACATGCACTCAGATGAACCCACTTCTTTGTTTGCCTATATATATGGTCTCCCGCCATGTCGACATCAAGTCTACTCTACCAGGCAAACTATTGCAACTCGACAGCCCTTTTTCATACTCCGCTACCACAGCAATGTACAAGACACTCCTTGCACACACCCTATTCTCTGCGCTGGTCGCAGGCCATGGCCATATCACCAACATCGTGATCAACGGTGTCTCATTCGGAGGCTGGGACATCAACAGTTATCCTTACACAGATTCGCCGCCCACTGTCGTGGCATGGGGGACTCCAAATACCGCCAATGGTTTCATCTCGCCAGGTAAGTATGCTATTGCACCATCTCACCTTCCCTGTATTGCGCGGGACCTCACAGTATGACCATTCTCTGACCAGTAGACCTAGATCAATATACTACCTCCGATATCATCTGTCATGTCAATGCAACCAACGCCAAGGGACACGCTGTGGTAGCTGCGGGTGACAAGGTCTTCCTTCAATGGACTGACTGGCCTGGGACACACCACGGCCCGGTCATCGATTACCTGGCAAACTGTGGCTCAGCAGGCTGCGAGACCGTCGACAAAACCTCGCTCAAGTTCTTTAAGATTGATGGTGTCGGACTGGTGGATGATACCACCGTACCTGGAACCTGGGGTGACGACCAACTTATTGCTCAAGGATCCTCGTGGATGGTTGAGATTCCTCCCACTATCGTGCCTGGATACTATGTTTTGCGACATGAGCTGTACGTGTATTTCCTGGCTCTTGATAATGACATGTACTGACTCATCTATCCAGGATTGCCCTCCACAGCGCTGGCGAGCAGGGAGGTGCTCAGAACTATCCCCAGTGTTTTAATCTACAGGTTACTGGATCTGGAAACGATGTTCCAGCCGGTGTCCTCGGTACCGCACTGTACAGTCCAACTGATGCCGGCATCTTGGTCAACATCTATACTTCTCTGTCAACATACGTGAGTCTCTTCTCACTTTCACCATGCCACACAAAGCTGATCCGACTTCCCCTTGAACAATAGGTCGTCCCAGGTCCCACATTGTACAGTGGTGCAGTCTCAATCATACAAGCAACATCCGCAATCACAGCCTCCGGAACGCCTATCAATGGATCAGGCAGTGCAGGCACTGCAACCCAAACCCAAACTACTGCGACAGGCAGCGCATCCACAACTTCATCTGTCATTACAGTCAATCCCACAACTGCGGTGCCTACGACGCTAGCAACCACCACTTCGACCACCATCCACGCGAGTACCACCACACCCACCGCTTCTGCAGGAAGCGGCGCGACCCAGTCTGTATATGGTCAGTGCGGAGGAAACGACTGGAGTGGGGCGACGGCCTGCAATACTCAAGCCACCTGCTCCTCGATGAATCCCTACTATTCGCAGTGTGTTCCTACAGCCGCTTGAGTGGGGTATAACGTGCACGGAGGGGGTTGTCGCTGGACCATATACTCGAAACGTGAAATAAGCAAGCGAATGGTTTGCATATTGTATACTTTCATCGAAATTATGGAATTGAACGTGTAATGGGACAACTCCGTGTATGGCGTATAGTGGTAGGCGCTAAGCAATCCGAGCCATGAAACGGCGGCAATCTCCGCCCAGCGAGCCCCAATTGGTTATGCCAAGAAAACAGGGATGGTCCCCCGCAGAACCTCAACTCAACATTGCCCATTTGAGATCCGTATGCAAAGTGTCGAAATGGTTTCATCAGATAAGGAAAGTCTCCCCCCGGGATACATTCTTCATGACGGGTTCCCTTCAGTCCCTGAATACGTCCATCTCCGCTCCGCTGCAGGATTATCGCCAAAGACTCCATCCCAGGCTGCAGCAATCCCAACAGGGAGCTGGTATGGATGCTATATCACCTTTGAAGAGAATGGCTCGGATCCAAAGCCAGTTGGCATGGGGAGAATTATAGGAGATGGCGGCTGGTACTGTCCTTGATATGTTGAGACTGTTCCTGAATCTGAACTAAATGTCATCAAGGTATTTCCATATTGCGGACATGGCCGTTCACCCGGACCACCAGAAGAGGGGACTCGGAGATGCTGTTCTCAAGGCTTTGCTCGCGAAGATCAAACAGGATGCTCCGGCAGATGGCGAGCCTTATGTTTCGTTGTTGGCTGATGGGCCGGGTCGACCTTTGTATGTGAAGAATGGGTTTGTGGAGAGTGCGCCAGAGTCACTCGGCATGATATTGAAATGATAGAATTGCAAGTCCTACAAATGTTAGTATCGTCATTGGATATACTACACCATGCCAAAACAAGATGTAAATATAGGTGCCCAGGTGTAGAGACGGGCTTGGCGAGGAAGTCACATCAAGAAATCAAGAACATTCTGCAAAGAAAAACGTCTCTGATCAGCGCATCACATTGAAATCATCGCATTACAAATGCCCATTCACCTCCGTATCAGTTCCACAGATGACCCCCAGGTCTACCTCGGCGTCCACTATCCCGAGCGTGGGGAAGCCGACCTCGCCACAGGCCGTGCAACGTGAAACCTGAGCACCCAATCCAACCACGCTACAGGTCAGCATGTCCCGTCGGCCCGTCGAGAAATGCCCAAGGGATGCCGCACACCACATCAGCAAGCAGCTGTCAAGCCTCATATTCTCCACATTCGGGTTCTCCAACCCCGAGCCCCCGACTTCTTTTTCCAGATTCCTCGGACTGATTGGCCGGGGAAAGCGGGTTGGTGGAGATATGTCCAAAGAGACAGACATGTCGGAACCTTGTCCTGTCAGATTTATCTAAGGGACCAGAGTTATATACTGGCAGGTCTATCTATTGACCATGGGTTACAATTCCTTACCTTGAGTGAAACACAGATATTAGAAAACGCATAGGAAAACAGCAAAATATTGAATGGAAACACATAGGACTGTCAAATAGAAGAAGGCATGGGCTCATGAACCGAACCTGGGGAAAGCAAACACATCCCTCGAGTTCGGACGATGAGGCCTGAGCCCCCGAATTGGGAAAGTTCAATGGCGACTTCCCGACGCAAGAGCATAAGGGTCCACCATGTGCTGTCCGTCAAACACCCAGCGACCTTTGCATTGCAAGGGGTCAATGCGCCGGTGCGTTTCGCCCTGCTTCAGTGCTGGAACGACGCTTTGGCCAACCCACTCGTATTGGCGGTTGTCGGGAACGTGGAGATTGTAGTACACATGAACCGATTCCTCACCAGGCTCCAGGTTGACAGTGAAGTGACAGCCGTCAGGCTTGGTTGTTTTCTGGCCTCGGCGGGTGGTGGTCTTGCTTTCGTGAAATGAGCCACTGGGAAACCAGCCAAATGTTAGGATACTGAACAAAGCCACCATCGATGGAGAAATAACTTACATAATGAGAACATAGCTCTTGTTGCGTTCGTCGGCAACTTGGTATGCGTAATGTTCGGTCATAGCCTTGAGCTTCTCATAACGAATGCGATATGTTCTGACTGCTCGATTCAGGCTGCTTTCAGCCTTGGGGTCCCATTCTAGCTCGATGGCTCGGACAAATCCAGAAGTATATTGGCGGGGAGACTGTTAGGGTAGTCGATCTGGTCGCCGCGGAGTTCGGTGGCCCAGTACGGATCCCAATACGGATCATCCATGATTGAAGGAATGATAAAACGTTTGATGAAATCTTGAGAATGATAGAAGAAATGCCAATGAATGTCGACGGTGATGGGTAAGATTGAAGAAGGAAAGAGAGAAAGCGAGAGAAAGGGGACTCAAGATCATATATAAAGTCCAAGTTTGAAAGTGAGCACTCGCGAATCGACAATATAGCTCATCTTCAATAGTATATTGTATTCAGTATTGTTCTTAATAGTCTATTCAGTAACTATAATGAATACGATAATATCCAATATAACCATACTATTTAACGCCCAACAATGGCTAAAGCAGAGGGTAAAAATAAAGCGACAGCTGAGGATCAAGACGATGTTTGTCAATTGCCTGATCAGGAAGGCAGCTTCAGAGGTCATATACGGTCACATGAGATTGGCCAAACAACCACCCGTTTTGATTTTTGGGACATCCTTTGTTTCTCATCCATCCTCCTCCCCCCTTCAGGCACTTTTCGTGGCCAACCATCTCACGACAGCACGGCTTGCTCCATGGACAATCCCACGATCAACCCATCCGACATGGATGCAGACTCCCCTCCGATGGAGCGGAGTGGAAATGATGTTAATGATATCCCAAATGAGACAGAAACGACAACAATCCCACAGAGCTCCGCGGAAGATGATGGGGCAAGCTTCAGTGATATTGCGAACTCGGACGACGATGTCCAAATTCAATGGCTTGACGTGCCCTGGAAGACATATGAAACCAACGACTTTCCAACGGCTACTTCACCCAACACAGATGCAGATGCAGATACAAGCAACAATACATACTCTGATCCGGAAGACTTCGGTGACTTTGCACGCACTTCGCGGGAACGATGTCGTATCAACGCTGAGTCCGAGGACAACTACGATCCGAAGGACAACCCACATGTCTTTTATCCCGTTTGCGTTGGGGAAGTGTTAAATGAGAGATACCGTGTCGAAAATAAGCTTGGGCATGGCGGATTCTCCACTGTTTGGATGGCATACGACCTTCAGGACGAGACAGATGTCGCCCTCAAAGTTATGTGTTCAGGTGAATCAGGAGATAGCGAAATCAGCATCCACGATGAAATCAATCGAAATGTCCAGGATCCGTCCCATCTTGTGACATACCTGGCAACTTTCCTATTACCCGGAAATGAATGTGATCACAGAGTTCTCGTGTTACCCTTGAGAGGCCCGTCTATGGACTTTTATTATCGAGATCGCATCCCTTTCTCCTCTCGAATGTCAGCCGCCAAGCAACTACTGATGGCCTTGGAAAGCCTGCACAAGGCTGGAATTGTTCACCGGGGTGAGTGGCCCATAACATGAAGTATGCCAACTACTGGCTGGCATTCAACTAACTACTTTACAGATTTGACTGATAGGAACTGTATGTGGGGGATGGCTTCTCTTCGTGGCCTCACACGAAGCGCCAAATATAAAGCACTCGGTCGGCCATTCAAGAAAGCCATACCGTGTAGGGACCTCTGGAAGGAAGGAGAGCTTGTTAATGAGATTGAAGTCCCGAGTGATCTACGCACAGAAGATTTCTATCTCGCGGACTTTGGTCTAGCAATGAAGATTGATGACGAGCCTAAAGAGGGCTTTCCGCCTGATCTGCATTGCTCCCCAGAGCGGCTCCATAACCAGGATCCAAGCTTCGCCTGCGACATGTGGAGTTACATGATTCTCTTTGCAGAGCTTTACACCGGTTTTCACCCTTTCCCTCACCTTGGGCGTGGCGCCTTATTTGGCCTGGTCAATTCTTTAGGCCCACTTCCCCGCCATTGGAAGGGCCTTTGCACCGACGCCGAGGACTCCTGGTACGATCAAGATCGACGTCCTGATCCAGAGTTTTCGCTTGCATCAACAATTGAAACGGATCTACCAGATGCTGATCCAATCGAGCGGGAACATGCACGCTCTCTCATGACTCGAATGTTTACTTTTTCCCCCGAGGAACGTCTGACCGCAACACAGCTCCTGCAGGACCCTTCGTTCAAAGCTATCTTGGAGATCTATCACTGTTGAAGCTCGATCCTCGATTTCATGTGCACTTGCTACACTGCTGTTTTCACTTGATTTCCCCCGGCCCTCGTTTCTTCTTACCTTTCAACCTGTTTACGCGCCTGATACCCTGGTTGGTCGCATCCATAGTGTGTCTCTAGACTCTCGCGTACTTAGGTATGGGCATACGCTATGGGTTACGGCTTTTATTTTGTTGACAACTTTGTTACGTCTTTCAAGAGAGCGCTGAGCTTTGGCTCCCAAGGAGAAGGACCGGATCGCAGCACCGCAGCCCGAGCCTCTTTGCTTTTCCATTTCTATTTGTTCAAACTTATGAAAATACACCTTTTCATCAAAGCGAAATGGAACTAATGAGCTCCCTTCTCAATTGCTGCCGAGTGCGGTGTAATGTAAACATTCTTTTCTATTTCGAAGAGTATACCCGGGCTGGTTACTTTTCCATTTAATCTCATAGCCCATCATCGTCAAAATATTCTGTTATGTATTCAACCCTCTGCAGCATGAGTACTTCAATGCTGTTTCCAACTTCCGCGGCTGATGGCTGAACGCACTCTCGAATATAATCGCTGCCCAAGCCAAGGCATAAGGTATTACCAGCAGCATCCCTGCAATGGGTATCTCTCACCACGCACTAACTCAGCCTCCAGCGAACACATCACTCGATAGATACACACAGCCACCCATCCCCACCACAGTCCGCGGCATAAGCTTGACTTGGCCCACACCTTCCCCCATCTGCTACGTGCAAAAGTGCGGATAGCTATGCAGATCCAAAGGAGATTTGAAGGTTGTGAAGAAGGGACAACGAAGACCCCGTGAATTAACCAGATATACATGTCCGGATCAGTCACCAAAGCCATGGAACTACACAATAAACCATCGAATTGGCAGAGCCAGCTATATACCACAAACCCCAACCTAAAAGCTCTTCTTAAGCCACTGAGTCTGCGAATTACAATACCCAAGCAACCCAGTCAAACCCCATTCAACACCCAAACCACTCTGCTTATGCCCACCAAACGGCGCAGTAGGCAAGAGATCAAAGTGGTTATTAACCCAAACAGAGCCAGACTGAAGCTGATCCGCAATGCGAGTAGCCCTCTCGAAATCCTTCGACCAAACCGACGACCCCAAGCCAGTCTCCAACGCATTCGCACGCTCAACCACGTCATCCTCATCGGACCATTTCATAATAGGTAGAATAGGCGCGAAAGCCTCCTCTTGCACGACTCGCGATAATTCGGGGGGATTATCGATGATAGTGGGGTGAATGAAATATCCAGGGGACGATTCGATGGATCCACCTAGGGCAGCCTTGAGATTCTCCGTTGTGATCGAGCTGAAGAGATCTTTGGCTTTTTTGAATTGCATTTCATTCTGGACGGGTCCGAAGAAGACGTCTGATTCGGTGCCTTCGCCCACCTTCAATGTTTTCACGAATGTGACTAGCTTGTCGAGGAATTCGTCGTAGATCTTTTCGTGGACGTAGAGTCGCTTGATCATCATGCAGATTTGGGAACTGCAGAGGTAGGAGAGGTTACCGATCTTTGGGATTATGGTGTCGATATCGACGTCTTCGCAGATGATTGCGGGGTCGTTTCCGCCTAGTTCGAGGGTTACTCGCTTGAGTGTCCTCGCGCAGGATGCCATCACCCGCTTTCCTGTTATGATCGAGCCGGTGAAACTGATCTTGTCGATGCCTGGGTGTTCGGTGACCATGGGGCCGAGGGAGTCGTCACCGCTGAGACACTGCACAACTCCAGGGGGGAAGAATCGGGTTGCCAACTCCACAAGTTTCAAGTCACAGTATGGTGTGAATGGAGACGGTTTCACGATAACGGTGTTTCCGGTATACACAGCAGAAACGATCTTGCCCACGGCCAGCAGAACGGGGTAGTTCCAGGGGACGATGGCCCCCACCACGCCCATTGGTGTATAACGCTGAATGACCTTACGATCATCGGTTTCTTCGATGACATTCCCCTTGATTTCGATTGAGCTAAGGCCGCGGGTCCAGATGCCCGTCAATCCAACTTCGACGGTTGCTTGTGTCAAAGGCTTGCCCTGCTCCATTGTTAGGGTCTTTGCGAAGCCGTCTGCATTGGCGTCGATAGCATCGGCCCAGGCGAGCAGGGCTTTTCGACGCTCATCGAAGGATGTCTTGGACCAGGACTTGAAGGCTGCTCTGGCGGATTTCACAGCCTTGTCAAGATCATCTTGGGTTGAGACTGGGACGGGTGGGTTGGGTTGAGTGTTGGCGGGGTTGACTCCGTGTCGTGTTTGTGAAGTCGAAGTCAGTTGGTTGTTAATGACATTGAAATAGGTCTGTTGCGATATAGGTTAGTAGACAGCTCTTGAGTAAGCGCGTGTGAGAGGCTTACTGTAAAGTCCAATGGCTCGGATACCGTCATGTTGGCAGATTAAGTTCCAGATTGTGTATCTTTAATATTTGATATTCAAAACGGGAGACTAGTGAAGAAGTTGAATCTCACGGATTGAGGCTGACTTTATAACATTATTTGCACCCCGCGATACACTCCCGAATACGACAAGTAGCATCGGATCCTGCTGCAGAGTCCAAGCCACGTAAAGCTGTACTATGCCCAGAAATGGTAACGTATTCCACATGCGAGTGGGCCACACAAGCGAGCGGGCCACCTACCGCGAAACCGTCAATAAGTTAGACCTTCCTTCTTCAACCACCTGCCATGCCACCAATTCGTACTCAATCCTCTCGAAATTTAGTAGAGCAGGAGGGTAGGGTCTTATTAGCTATCCAGGCTATTAAGAAGCAAGAAATCACTTCTATACGCGAAGCAGTACGTCACTTTCAAGTGGCCCGTTCAACCTTACAACGCCGCCTTACACGCGCAAATAGCCATAAATTGACAGAAGTTGAGGAATCTCTTCAAAAATGGATTCTCTCTATAGACTCTCGTGGAGCACCCTCTCGACCTTCTTTCGTACGAGAAATGGCAGATTTATTACTCGCGTCGCGTGGATCTACCCCGGTTCATTCGGTCGGCGAGAATTGGGTACAAACTTCGTGAAAAGGCATCCAATCCTCAGTTTTAGAGGTCTCTACCTTAGTAATGCAGCCGGAGTAAGCAGTTTTAGCAGAAGTATCCTGTGAGGCAAGACGCATATTTACAGCCACGTCCGAGGGCCTTACCGAAGTGCGGAGAATGTGGAATTCAAGGTCATAAGAGAAATGCCTGTCCAGATAGACCTCATTTTTAGCTCATTGGATTTAATAGCGTTTTGGTTGAGATAAATGCATTTAAATTGACGCGATTCGCGGTAGGTGGCCCACTCGCTTGTGTGGCCCACTGAAATACGTTAAATGCATGGCTATCTTCAGCACCACTCACGATGCTTAACCCCAATCGAGCTTACTGGGACCTTGGCAAAGTGCGGGGGGCAGGGATTCTCAGGAGTGAGTCCATTTGTAATCTTTGTCTGCTTCGTAATCCCAATACCAAGTGAATTGGTGTGCTGCTTCGGCATTCCAGACACTGCGCATGTCAAAGCGGTACTTGTTTAGCCATGCCACGCAGGCATGTGGCTGCTTACTGCAGGTAAGCTCTTCGACAATGGGTCCAAGCTGGACTGCGCTTTCCGTTCACTGGTATATCGTCTTTATCAGTTCGTGAAAGAAGGTCCCCCAATCGAGTGATCACAATCAAATCTGAGAGTTATCTAAACATGGTCGCCGCCAAGCTGAGGTCGCACCGCGGATGTGTGACGCTATCACACCGAAGGCATCATCGAGCTTCCGCTGAGACAAGTGTTCCATTTCACGGTGTTACTCTCGAACAGCTGTCTCGGCTACGCCAACCTGCTTGGGTAGATATGTGTGTAGAAGAGAAGAAGAAAGAAGAAGCACTCTTTGTAAGCACAGACCAGCATGACATATGACATCATCCCATACTTTCCAACGGCCATCATCCACACGTAGTTTTAATTTATATCCCTGCAATCCATGTCGATCACGACTAGCAGCCTACCAATAGCTTGTGTAGCTATTTCTAGCAAGACCCTTGCATGGTGGCGACAGTGTGCTGAGTGGGTATATTCACGATGATCGTCCTTCGGATGACGTCCCGGTTGAGCGCCTCTTCTGTCAACAATTCTTATCTCTCTTGTTGGAAGGCAACTTGGTGCTTGGCGTACGTTGAGCAGAGAGCAGGTTACACGCTGTGTGATGAGTGAGATTTGTTTATTTAAAGAGCTTGTTGGCCGGTGGGGGATTCGAAATATATATTCAACCAACACAATCAACAAGCACTATATATCCTTCTACCAACTTTATCATTTTAAGATCCTGAGATCCATCTCCAATATATCAAAATGTTTCACCGCCGTCGCAATGCTACTGTCACTCGTACCAGCAAACCAACATTGATGACCCGTCTCAAGGGACGCAATGCGAGATCGCGCACTGTCAAGACTACAACCACCGTCCAACCCAACACACATGCCACGCATGCCACGCATTCCACACATGGTCACCACGGTCATCACGGTCACCATGGACGTGGCTATGGAGCAACAACCACCCGTACCGCACCTACCCACCACCACCGCCGCAAGGCAAGTCTCGGTGACAAGGTCTCGGGTGCCATGTTGAAGTTGAAGGGGTCGTTGACACACCGTCCAGCTGTCAAGGTGAGAGCAATTCCACTTAGTAACTTGTGAACAAAGCTAACATGTATCGGATCCAGGCTGCCGGAACCCGTCGCATGCATGGCACGGATGGACGTGGAAGTCGCGCTCATCGTGTCTACTAAGTTACGCTGTACAACACAACATCACGAGCTATGAAGCAGAGTATGGATATCCCTTTTTGCTTAAATGTATAATATGATTTGAATCCCCGCCAGGCTGAAGTCCTTTACCTATGCAAACTGTACATATTTCATCAATCTTGATTTCATTATCTATGAACCGTCATCTATCTAAGTAACAACTATATACACTTCTATGAGGCAAGTCATGATACAAAAACGTAACTCAACCAATCAAGCATCACTCATAGCAGACCACGCAAGGCCTCACCCAAAGCCATAATGGCCATAGCCTGACCATAAGGCATAGACGTCAACGGAATCTGCTTATAAAAGTCAAGGCAGTCACCCATCCCAGTACCGAAGCTAGTATTCTGTAATTCACCCCGCTCATCTATATGGCCCATCACAGCAATGATGGCCTTCTCTGCCACGGCGCGGTACTGGGGGCCAATGTAGCGTTTTCGAACAGCTTTGAGGATGCCATAGGCAAATCCAGCAGTTGCAGATGCCTCGACGTATGAATCAGGGTGGTCGAGGAGAGTGTGCCACGCGCCGGACGGAGACTGCAGACGCAGGAGGGCCTCGCACTGGGCTTCAAGGGTATCAATCAAGTGGAGACGAATAGGGTCATTGGGCTGCAAGTCGAGCAACTCAATGATCTCCGGAATGACAATTGTCACCCAGCTGTTTCCACGAGCCCAGCGCGCATCGGCGAAATTGTGACCACCATCTTCAAAAGTCCATCCGTGGAACCACAGACCGGTCTTGGTATCAAACAGATACTTGATATGAGTAAGGAACTGCTTCTTGGCCTCCTCAATGTATTCCGGTCTGTTGAGGAGCTTGCCGATCTTCGCCAGCGGCATGACGGTCATCATCAAAGTATCATCCCAGAGTTGCTGGTAGTTCTCCGTGATATATGTGATATGCTGCATACCCCCGTAGCGCGTGCGAGGCAGTTCGTGCATGGCCCATTCAGCCCAGGCGTCGAGCCAGGGGAGATATGTGACATTGCCGGTTTTCTCGTAGACGTATGCCAGTGTGAGGAAGACTGCCATGGTGTTGATGTTCTTTGTTGTTCCGCCTTCTGCGAATCGGGCGGCGAACCAGTCTTCGATTATCTTCAGTAATCTTTCGTCACCTGTCAGCTCGTAGTACTTCCACACGCCGTACAGGCCGATGCCGTGAGTCCATTCCCAGCCGTGCCATGACTTGGTGTCGATGATGCGTCCGTCTGGGAGCGGAAGGAGGAATTTGCCCGTTTCGTCTTTGATGTTGACCAAGTTGTCGATTAGTAGGTTGACGGCCTTGTGGATTTCAGGGCCCGAGGGTTTGGGAGACGCCATGGTGAGATGTTGGGGTGTTGGTGAATGTGTTTATTGACTGACGAATCAGACTGCCAAGTGTTTTCTCATTGACGGGCGCGAAATAAAAAAAAGCTGAACGCCAGGCCCGGGAGTCCTAATAACTGCTGGTGTTAAAGAGTTCTTCCACTAATGAGCTGTGGAGTTGCGCGCCACATCTCTTCCCCGCGCGAGCCAAGCTCCTTTCGGGTGAGAGATGCCCGAGTCGTTGCCCCTTCACGTGTCTCGGAGACCATCAAACGGCCACTGGAGACTCGTCAATGGGGATTGCCGCAGTCTCCACCCGCTTAAGCGAGTCGCAAGGTTCTCAGCTCGGGAAGTGCTTCCCCGGACTCTCCAGCGGGGAACCTTAGTCTATCCCTTGCCAAGCAATTCCGGGGAAAGACACCGACAGCCACCGTGCTTGAATTACGGTTGAAAGTATGGTGAAAGCAAATTCAAGCCACATCACTATTTAACCTTCTCGGCTAATGTGTTGAATGTGGTTAGGATAGAAGTATGCACGGTCCGGGCGAAACGGTGCCGCCATTATAAGGAGGACTGGCTCCTTCTGGAATCCCAGTGTCCCTATACCCCGTGTACTGCCTTGGTACACTAAATATTCTTTCATCATGGCTGAAGGCAAGGATCAACCCTACCAGGGGATTGAGACTGCTCCCGTTCAACATCAGGTCGAGATGGGCGAGTACCAGAGCAAGCAGGACATTTCCCATGTCGAGCAGGTTCTCTCAGGCGATGACTTGCGGAAGGATAACATGGATGTTAGCCGTGTCGACAAGGAAATTCGAGCATATGCTGCTGATGTGGCGGTGGAAATTGATGCAGAGACCGACAAGCGTCTCAAGCGTTTGATTGATCGTCGTGTTCTGGTCATTATGATCTGCACGTATTTCCTGCAAGCTTTGGATAAGGGAACCATGTCTTTCTCTGCTATCATGGGCATCAAGACGGATGCACACTTGGAGAATGGACAAAAGGTATGTGGATTTGAGCATGCATTCGGCTTACTATCCTAACTTGCTCGTTGAATTAGTACTCCTGGTTGACTACCTGTATTTACATCGCTGTTCTCACGGTCGAATACCCGACCAACTGGATCATCCAACGAGTCCCAATTGGCAAGTACCTTGGTATCAACATTTGCCTCTGGGGTACGATTCTGGCCCTTCACGCTGCTTGCCACAACTTCGCCGGATTGGTCACAGTCCGTACCTTGCTAGGTATCTTTGAGGCCTGTTGTCAGCCTATCTTCGTTACACTGTCATCCATGTGGTATAAAAGAGAGGAGCAAGCAGCTACCGTGACATACTGGTACGTTAAAAGCACGAGCAAAAGATTGATCATCATCTAACTGAATTAGGTACATGATGAACGGTGCCCAACAGATCGTCGGCGGTCTCCTGGCCTACTGCTTCACCCTAATTGGCGCAGACAAAGTCATCAAGTCCTGGCAAGCCCTTTTCCTCACCTACGGATGCATCTCCGTAATCTGGGGACTCTTCGTCATCTGGTACATGCCCGATTCGCCCATGCGTGCGAAGTGCTTCACCGAGGAGGACAAGCGCCTCATGGTCGAGCGTCTGCGTTCCAACCAGACTGGTATCCAGAACAGACAGTTCCGTGCGTATCAGATGTGGGAGGCCCTACGTGATCCTCAGATGTGGTGCTACTGTGCCGTGCAGATGTTCACGACGCTTCCTACTAGTGGACTCGGTGCATTCTTCACTATCATCATCAAGAGTTTCAAGTTTACTACCCTGCAGACTCAGTTGCTTGCTATGGTGCTGGGTGCATATATTATTGTCATTCTGTTGTCGTCTGCTTGGTTGGTCAAGAAGTACAACCAGAACTTGCTAGTGATGCTGGGTTTCATCATTCCGTATGTTCCTCCCTCTTTGCTTCCGCTGAATACATACTAACGTGTTACAGATCGTTCATTGGAACAATCGTCTTGATGACCGTTAAGAACACCACCCTATCCACCAAGGTCGGCCTTCTCATCAGTTACTACATCACAATGTCTTTCTGGTCAGCTCAGACCCTCACCTTGTCAATGGTCTCCCGAAACATCGCCGGACAAACCAAGAAGGCCACCGTTGTTGCAGCAACCTTCATCTCGTGGGCCGCTGGAAATGCAATTGGTAAGCTACTATTCCTTTCCAAGGATCCCTATTTTGGTCTCTCTTTTGTCGCCTATTATCTTTTGCCCATATTCGAGTGCCTCAGGTCACAGATGGTCTGAATTATACTAACGATACCCAGGCCCTCAAGTATTCCTTGACAGAGATGCCCCGCGGTACCACATTGCCTGGAGTGTCCACCTCGCCTGCTACTCCTGCATGGTCTCCGCTGTCATCTACCTCCGGTTCTATCTCAAGCGCCAGAACGCCAAGAAGGATAAGCTCTTGGCTGAGTCTGGACTTAGTGCTGCTGATCCTAACCTGATCCACGCTTTCGAGGATAAGACAGATCAGGAGAACATGAACTTCCGATATGTTTATTAGATACCTTTGATAATTTGTTTGGGATCGATATATGTGGCAGTCTGGGGTTATATGGATGATTTTTACTGTTTTTTTCTGGGTCAAATGCTATGATGTACAGGCTTGCCGATATCGGTCTGGTCGTTTTCGGGGGTACTGTCATAGGCCATAGTCCTCTCGGCCCCGCCTTTTTACAATCTATACGATTAACCCGAGGCACTCCAAAATGGGCGAAAAAGAGGTGAAAAGTGAGAGGCCAAAGTAGGGCCAAAACAATGCATAAAACGCTATACTCACTTCCAGGCTTTCGTGTAGGAACTGTCCAATACTTCCTGGCGCTGTGCACACATTTGTGACCCCTGTGTACTTCGTAAAGCATCGTAGACTCTATGGTACGCCTTACCAATCTAATTTCCTGGTCTTCTCCATGCCTATGTCACTTAGATCAATGGTACGGGTCTAACAAGTGCTTCTTTTCCTTTATTTTGTCTTCTCTTCTCATTTAGTACCCTATCCTGTACCCCACACTTAGCATAACGAGATTTCACACAAGACCCTGGAATTCTCCACAAGAATTGAGATTGGCTAAAAATTTTACATAACTTCTAGCTACCCCTCAAGGAAATACAGACGTCAGAAGCAATTAGCATCCTAGAACAATAATACAATAGGAAAGTTCGGGAGATATCTTATCAAATCCCCTCAATTGCGGATCGCCTATCGGCGGTCTCCGCCTCAACTTGCAATTCCCCCAAAGTACGTGACAGTCAGTCAATCCAATTGATAAATCCCACCGAGAATCCACATCGACATTCAAACAATCAAGTCTGTGATTAAGAAAACCCCAAAACACTAACCCAGCAACCCCCTTCATCAAGAACCACCCAACACCACCCAACATGCTATACACACACGCAACAATCGTGACAATGGACTCAAACCGTACCATATTCGAAGACGGCGCAATCCACGTAGTCGCCGACAAAATAGCCGATATTGGCAAAACAAAAGATCTAAAGGAAAAATACCCCAACGAAGAAGAAACAGACCTAACCGGTCGGATCATCGTGCCGGGATTGATCTCGACGCACATGCACACGGCGCAAACCCTGCTACGCGGTACAGCCGATGACCTGGAACTCGTTTCCTGGCT